TTCAAGCAGGAATTCAAGACACTGCTGAAGACAAATGGAATGCAAGAATGTAATTGTCTTCAGCAACTTGCTTGAGGTGCTAGAAAGTATCTAATTTTTGTCACCGTTCCCCAACACCATTCAGAGATACATCAATACAGGGGAGACACAGAAGCTAAAATACTTTGCTGTGATGAGACACAAGATCAATGCTTCTCCAAGAACCGGGCTGAGAAGCTGGGAGCTGTGCAAACACAGCCACAATAAATACAGAATTAATGTACCTGAAATTGTGATGCAGCTCCAGATTTGGTGAAGAAGAGACTCCCTGGTTCATGGTTCCAATAATATACGGACTGAAAAGAGAGAATTAGTTGGGGTTTTTGAGAGACAATCCATTCAGATACCCAGAGGATATTCTTTCTTCTTATTTACACCAGGCCAATTTTAAAAGAGTCTCCAGATATATTGTAGTCTTAAGATTTAAAATATTCCTAAGGCATTTAATGTTTATTCTTGCATGATATCCCTCTCTGCACATTTGTAGTTTACTAGTACTCATCTGTAATAAAAAAATAAATGAGGCAACACTGTCCTCATGTACCTCATAATTTTGCAGTAGTATTGGAGTTTCAATTTCAGAAGTCAGTGAATCTCATAAGTAAGACATAGCATGCAGTGATTTTACAAAGAGAGGTCCCAATGATGGCACTTTTACAGCAGAAAAAGCCAATGTTATAGGCCAGTAAAAGTTTCAGAAAACATTATTTTATTCTTGTGTGGCAATAAAGGACAGCCAGCAAACTTTATATTTTTGAACTGCTACAGGAAAACTGTAGAAAGTGCAAGTCCACCAGATACACAGCTGCTTCTGTACAGCATGGTTGATGGATTCGCACACATGCCAAGTCTCACTATTATAAAGTGGATTTCTTCTCACTGTCCCATAAGCTGTCCTCATGGTACTAATGAGCTTGTGTGATCTGACAGGGTGAAAGGGATAAGATCCTAATGTAGCCAAGTGTTTCAACATATTCTTAAATTCTGTGGTATGTTTCCATCTCACTGAGATGTGTGGGAGTCATAAATAAAGTGAAGCAAACACTTGGCTGAAGAAGGTTAAATTCAAGTACCTAAGGGCTTTGCTGCCAGCCTATGGGAGTCTAAGTTACCACTGGGACATATGACTCTGCAAAATAACAGCTTTTACCATTTCAATTGCAAAAGGTGTGTAAAAAGGGAGAGGTAAGCTATTACCTACCATTTATTATATTTACAGTTGAGGAAACCATTGAAGATGTCACTTAATGAACTGATGTGGTGAAGGTTATCAAGAATTATGACCACAGGGAGGTCAGCACCGTTGTTGTCAGCACTGCATTGCTCAGCTAGGTTTGCTAGGTATTGTCGCAGATCCTTCAGCAGAATTAACAAAAAAAGGAAAGAAAAAAAAAAAAAAGAAAAACCAGAAAAAATTAACCAAATTAGACCACAGATTAGACCAAAGATATCATTTCAGTGGAAAAGATTTTCAGAAAGATAAAGAGGCTGCTACAGAGTTTCCCCATTGTGGATCTTCAGCTGGACCAGGACATGCAGGAAGACCCAGCTTCTTAGGTAGGGCAACATGGAAGCCAACTGGTAGGAGAAACAGAGGGACTAAAAATAAGGCAAATGACTGAGTCAAACACATTCCTATCTGGTGGATACATTCCTTAGAAACCTGCTGATAAAATATCTTATCTCCAGAGGAAAATAGGTTGCAACAAAGTCCACCATTTCAAATGGGCTGAGAGACTCACATTAACTACTGGATTTCCATTCTTATGAATGCCACCTTTATGTACCAAAATCTTCAACTAAATTACAACAAAATTCAGACCTATTGAACTGCTACTTCAGACATCATCTTTCACCACTCTCACTGAAAATCTGTTTGACCTTTTCGGGACACAATATCACTCCTCATAGTAAAATCTGTCATGTAAATTCTTTTTTGTTCTGTCAACTATCTGTCTGGCTGTTACTGAGTATTGCAGTAAAAGAGAACTTTCTATAATCAAAACATTTCATAGTTTTCTCAACACTTTGTTGCTCTTCATGTCTGGGCTACTCAAGTATTACAGTTGTATCTCTACAGGTATGTAATTTGTTCAGTGTTGGGAATGCTCAGTAATATATACAAAGTTCCTATTGCCATTGTACTTTCTGGATTAGTGATAGCAGAATCTTTTCTTCTTTAATGGGAACATGCAACCTTTTTTTACTTCAAGAAATATTTTTGTTTGGCTTTTTATGATCAGGTATATCTAGGGGAACATCATGAGTTTCTTCCATAGAATAGTACCATCTGCATTATTCAAACACACCTGGTACTTGACAATGGTTTTTTTCCTTTTTTACTACAAACACAAAAATTCTATATAAATCTTAATAGAAACAAAGAAAAAGGGAAAAAAAAACCCAACACTATACCCAAACAAAAAAAACCCAAAAACATCAAAGTAACCCAGAAACAACAAATTATTTACCAGAAATCCAAAAGCTTGCTCTCTTGTGGGACAATTTTCATTATAAATATACACAGATATACACGGTATAACAATAAAACATAAACACATCCCCTACCAAAGTAAATAGCATCACAAATTCTCTGTATAAAGACAGTGAAAAGTGGTATTTTTACTGGAATGGTCCTCTTGCCCCTTTGGGATCCGTATGTTCTTCCTTCTTACATTATGTTGACATTCATTATGTTCTGTGCAAATCAGAAAGCTCTGGGCAAAATCTTTCATTTTCTTTTCCCTGGGTACCAGGTTAGGAGTATACCTAATTTAAGACAGCATGCAAATAGTATTATCTGTGGCTAGCACAGTAGTCATGCTAGAAGCTTGATAGACTGAGCTATGTAAATCACTGTGAATGTGACACGATGCATGAGGCAGTTTTAGTAAGGTCAGCTTCCTTACCAATGCACACCAGAAACCATGGCAGGAGTGTTTATCAGGTTACCCAGATAAACTGTGGCTAACTGGTGTTTATCCACTGCTGATTAAGAAGCTGAACCCAAGACAGTAATTCAAAATCCCCATTTGAAATCTTTGCTAACAATATGCTGCTGTCATCATTATAAAAAAGCAAGCTAGACTGGTATTACTATATATCCAACCTTTCTGACAAAGGAATTACAGACATGTTTAAGAATTTAATTTATATAGGAATTTCACTCTTCATCTATCCTTAAGCTGGGTTTCTTCAAGTGAGGGGAAATTCAGACTTCCTTCACAGTGCATCACTGGTTTGTTTACAAGAGAAAGATCTGGTCTCTGTTCCTTACTGAGACTGGAGACTAAATTTTTGTTGGAAAAAAATATTAACTGAGCAACAAAACAGTACGCCAATTAATAGGATCCTGCTCTGCATCAACACCACAAACTGGGGAATAGGCTATCTTTTAAACCATAACTTACCTTGCTTGACTTGTGATCAATGTTAAAAGTTGCAATTGCATCCTCAGTTTTTTTTCTGCCAGATTTAGTTATAATATATTCAGCCAGCCTATTAGCTAAATAGGTCTTTCCTGTGCCGCTGGGTCCCGACAGAATAATTCTGCGATGCTCCATCAGTAAATTAAAGTACCGCTGCGTAATTGGCTTAGGAATTAATGTGTCAAACACAAAACTGTCCAAACTGTTTTCTTCCACTCCTGGGAACAAAAGAAGAGAAAAACGGTCTGTCTTCATCCTTGCTAAGGTAGATATAGCTCTGGTCCAGCACCTGATGGCATCAGTGCTATGCTCAAAGCAAGGTAAGATATTTCTGCCTAAATCAAATTCCTATCAAGGGCTTCATTACTGTGGAAATGTTTATATCTTTCCACAGGGCCAAAATATTAAACAGGGGCAGTGAGAAGAGATGGGTGGAAGAGATGAAATCAAATAAATGTGAAGAGAAGGCTCAGTGAGGCAAAGCTGTTTGTTTCTGACATTACAGGTAACCAAGACAAAAAAAAAGGCCAAAGCCACAAGGGTTACCGATTGCCACAGCAATGTATGTATAGTTCTTCTGAAAGACCCCCGTCCCTCCAGCAGCAAATACCTACAGCTTTTGAAATATATTGAATTTTTCCTGTGGAACTGGGTAAGGCATAAATATATCTCACCATAATTTGTTTTGGGGTTGTTTTTTTTTTTTTTTTGCCCGTATTCAGAAATTTGTACTTTGCTGTGATTTGGCAGTAAGGCAGAGAAGGACAGAGACATTTTTAGATTTGCCTCAAAATGCCACTCTGCGTTAGGTATTGTACAATGTCATACAAAGAGATCATGTAATAAATGAGTCCTTGAACTGGAGTCAAAATACACAAATATCAGGTGAAAGAAAAAAAAATGTGAAGGGATGGAGGACTGTCATGAAGAACTCTACAGTATCTGCAAAAATATTCCTGGGGTTTTACCTTTCAGGTTCACAGTGATGATGTTATTATCTCCAACCAGATATCCACAAGGCAGCAGCTCAGGCACTTCTTGGCTATGTGCTCTAATTACATCCCCTATACAATAACTAGCAATACAGTCAGAGCTTAAACCCAGGCTAGTAGTTGGATCCACCCGGAAAATATATTCCTGAAATTATATGAAAACATAAAACATAAAAATAGTTAAGCAATTTAGAAAATATTTTGGTATATGTGAAGTGACTTGACAAGGAGATTCCTGCAGTCACATTCAACAGAGAACTGCTTTAAATCATCAAAAAAGAACAGCAATATTAAGAATAAAGTTTAATAGTGGTGTCAGCTATATGTCCAAAAATAAAACAGAACAAAACAAAAACTTGGCAAGACAACCCAAAGAATACAGAATTTTTCTTAAGTGAAAAAGAAAACTGAATTAATACTTGAGCTAATTTTTCAGTGTCTTACCTTAAAGAGACGTCTGATTACACCATCTAAAACATCCCACTTTGTTTTTCCGCTGACTCCAATTGATCCTATCAGATACGCATGTGGTTTCTGATCCTGCAAAGAAGGATTTTGGGAAACTGGACTTAAAGTGGTGGTAGCTAGTTTCCGATGAAGTTTCATAATTTTACCAATGAAGAAAAATAACCTTAGTTAGAAAGTGATGTTTCAACTTTGTTAATAAACTGTGCCACAAATAGGATAGATGATATTACTTCTGTACATCTGTATAAGGAAGGAAATACAGTATCTTGTTCAGCTATTTGATTACATTTGTGTTTATAAAGAGCAGACTATAAACAGAAGTTGCATTGTATTCATAATGTTTTTGCAACACGGAACATGAAAACATGGCAATGCAACTCCAAATTTACTACCTCAGTAGCACCCTAAGGGTTCCAAGGCATAGATTTAATTTATAGCAACTTTTATGTGGAGATAGCAAGTCCCAGAACATCCTACTACTAATTAAACTGAGAATTGGTAGTGTCTGAGCCACCACAAAGACAGAAGGAGGCCATATGACTAGTCTATGGAGAGTGTGTAACTGTACTGAGCATGGATGACAGAGAAGAGAGCTGCTACCTTTGGGATATTTCCCTTCAGTTTCTGGCTGAGAATATTGAAACGAGTTGAGCATATACTGCAAGATTTGCCTGAGCTATAATTCTGCATCTACACCTTTGGGTAATGAACTTACCTTGGCTCGGCTATAGCCCTTGTTTATAGTGACTAAAATTTTCACACTATGACCTTCTTTGTGGAGTGCTCCATCAGTGGCATCATCCAACAAAACATCTACAATAAAAGAAGGGAATTAAAGTGATCAACCTCGCAAATCACATCAGTAATGTCCACATTATCTGTTCAATATTTGTTCAAAGGATTTTTTGGTTAAAAAGAAAGGCTGACATCACAACAACTTCCAATTGTTTTAATCTGCACTTATTCCTAATTCATCTCTTCTGTTGGAGATGAAAAAAAAAGTTATATTTTATCAATTTTGGAAGAAATTTTAGGAGTTTTAATAATGTAGAAATGGAGTAAAAAAAAAAAAAATCTTGCATTACAGTTTTGCCTTGGCTTTCCTTCTTGGAACTTGTTAAAAATTACCATACATACACAAAGTAATGTTGTTTAAAACGTAAATTAAGTTTTTATCTTAGGGCACTTGTACCCTTTAGAACTCTGTAAGGAGAAAAAAAGAAATCCTTGTGTTGATATGCTTGAGGCTAAGCAAAATAGCATTTAATTTCTCTTTCCAGTTGATTTCGTCACCTTCTCTGCACATGGGCAATCTTTTTTACTCCCACAATACAGGCTTACAAGCAGTATTCGTTAGAAAACCACTTTGCAGTTCTCCAGAATATGGGACTCTGCATTCAGCCATTCCTGTAAGAAAAGGGTTCAGTTTTCTTGGAGGTAAAAAGTGGCTCTGATCCGCTCTGTGCCTCTGTTTCTAGCAAAGGCTGAGCCTGCAGCTTTACTGTAAGGGATAAAACTGCTGTCTTCCTCTAGAAATTCTCTTAGAGATTTTACTGTCAGACATTTAAACTAACCATCAAATTAGGAAGGATTATGGATTTGCTTTTTCTTCAAAGGCCAGCACAGTAATCCACTACCCTAAGTTTTGCTTGTTCTTTCCGTGGGGAAGAAAAGCATCAACTTCTTGTCATAGTCTGCACAAGGTCAGATTTCACCCAAATTAAATGAAGTGCCAGTAAGATTCAGCCACTTGCTCAAAGCAAAACCAAAGAAGACTTATGAATATGACTTCAATTAATGTATTAAAAAAAAAGTCCTCATGTAAAATGTTTTATAACATGCCCAGATCTAGAAAGTAGATTCTGCTGTTGCGTTATTTTTGTTGCTGTTTCTTTGTTTAATTGATCAAATCAAGCATTTTTGTTGTGAGCTTAAACAAATCCATGTTTGCCTTGTTGCAGACACAGCTTTTCTGTGCCACCAACACTGAATGTTTCACTTCACTTGTCTTGTGTTTTGGCATATTTGACAAACCTTAAGAGTTTCCATAATGACATAGTTCATTTCAGGGCTGTTTATAATATCACTGATCCCCCTGTGAAATTTTTCAATCTTTAAGTGACCCTTGTGTAGCCTTTTAAATACATTCTTCTGTAAGCCTTTAGGAATGAGGAAGCACTCTGTGGCTAGAAAAAAAAATCCACTAAGAGTTCTCCCTGATTGACACAAGGGTCTGAGAAGATGCCCAAGGGAGTGTAATTTCATGGTGGTGCAAATTGTATTAATTACTTCCTGTCAGACCTCCTCTTTAAGTGCACTATGGTGGCTTTGGCTCATTTCTTATCTGAGGTCTGTCACTTTTTTCACTAGAAGTACAGATGGAGTTTTGTACTGATCCTTGTCTGCTGCTCTCTATTCCAGTGACTGACTGAAATACATGTGTCCTCGACCACTGAGCCCCTTCCCAGCTTGCCACTCATCTGGAGGAGATGGTTATACCCTTAGGAATTAGCTTTGGTCATTTCCAGATGACCACAGTCATCTGGAGACACTAGTCTCCCACAATGTGCCATGGTAGTCTTTACCATGGGCCAAAGCCCTTGTTACCTCTCGGTTTAGCCCCCAGCATGATTAACCTCTCTGTATCTCAGGGACTGTTCAGTAGTACTCCAACTGCTCCAGAAATCCCATGAGACTTGGTAGGAAGCTGTTACCCTTCCAAGTTCTCTGGCACAGCAACAAAATGACACTCACAATGATCAAAAAGGCTGGATTCATAATCAAACGAAATCCTCCACTCCTCATTAGGCACCATTATCTCCTTAATTTCTTAGAACCAAAAGTAATTGCTTTGCATGCTAGAAAGACATTTAGAACCAATAAAACAGAAAATGGTATAAAGTTTATAGAATCACAGAATCATTTAGGTTGGAAAAGACCCTTAATATCACCGAGTCCAAACAATTCTCCCAGTCTTCCTGTTCCTTCTCCTACTCCTTTTCCCTCTTTTCTTCCTCCTCTTCTTCCTTTTTCTTTCAGCTTTTATTTCTTCTATTCTTTTGCTAAACACTTTCAACTTCCTGTGTTATTCCCTGGTTCTCTTCCCATCATATTTTCATCCAGTTCCTCCTCCTTTTCTTCAGACTCCTATTCCTACTATTCCTCCTACATGCTTATTCCTGTATCTAGACTAAGTGCCAAGAAATAAAATGCTAATAGCTGTGGCTCATGAAAGAGATTCTACAATTACAATTTTTAAAAACATTCTGTTCTGGTTTGTTGTATGTTGGTTTTTTTTTTAGAGTGTGTGGATGTGTGAGCAGGAACCATAGTTAAATTTTTTCTCCCTGTTTTTGTAACACTTCATTGTACACTGAGGCCTAGCTCAGATTCATCCACGTTAAAGTTAAAACTAACAAAAGATAGTCTGGAATGTAAATTAAAAATATACCTGTTTTCATGTAAAATCCGGTATTAGCCAGGAGAAATATTCAAATGTCCGTGTAATCAATGTCTGGAAAGATAACATGACTAACTGCCAATCCAGTTTACTGTCAGGCAGTTTGGCACGTTCCCAGCTGTACTCTTGCCTAGACTCTTTCTACAATTATTAGCTACATTTTTATTGCTTCCAGAGACTGCATTATACTTCTGTGGAGTCTATGCTAATACGTACTGCATTGCTTCTGCTCTGCTCCTGCTTCTAATGTTAGAGAAAGCACTTCTAGTTCTTGGCTACATTATCAAAACAAGAGTAGAAGGCTTATTATCATAAACTCTGTGGCATGGAAAAATTATCTAGTGTTAATGTTCAGGAGGTGGTCCAAAGTTCTGCTTGCTTTCTCTCATTCACTGAAGACAATGAGAGTGCTTAATAAGCCAGGCGGGGTTTGGCTTCTGTGATAAATGGTGACCTGGTACAATGTAGCCTAACTAGCCATATCACACTAAAAAAATGTAAGGGATAAAGCTAACCCAGACCATCTTCTGCCCCAGCTGCAAGCACAAAATAAAGTTAAAGGAGCTAGCTGAATGATAAAAGATAGATAAAGATAAAAAAATAAATTCTCATGTGCTATGCTCATATTTATCCTATAGGGACACATATATTGTATATGTATCTATACAATTGTCAAGTATATTACAACAGATATTGTCCTTTTAAAAAAAATTGTAAACTGGATGACCAAAGAGTATTATAAACCAGGTAGACAGAGAGTACCATAGCTAGAAACTTAGCAAACATAATGAAGAATTTGTAGCTATTATTCAGAGTCTTCTAAATTCTACATTTTCAGAAAAGACTGCCAGCATTCTTCCTCTTCTCCATTAGTGAATATATAACTGATGTTTATCTGAGCCTCATATATATGGCCCATTAAGAGTGTGAAAATAATAAATTGTTACTGATAGCTGACGTATGCATGTGCCCAAAATATGTTTACCTGATGTAACAGATTCTGTGATATTTAAATTGTTCAGAGAAAGCCCTAGTGACTGCCGTGAGGAAGAAGATGATGTGCTGCTTGAAGACTCTGATGATGGCTGGGCAGGCTTTCCAGTATTTCCAGTCTCTGCCTTTAAACGATCGTTTTCAGCTTTCAATATCTCTATTTCATTCTGCATTCAAAAGAAATCAAAATAAAAGAATAGGGGGTTATTCTTTTAGTAAACCACTGGGGGTGGCTATTCTCATGTTTGCTGTTCAATTGCAGGAGCTAAGTGGTCCACCACTTTCACAGTAAAGTGAAAATGTAGCACTATATATCAGAAATATAATGCAGTCAGTAAAAATTGGATTGCCTTCACTTCTGAAATGAAGGGAAACCTCTGCTGTTTGTTTTTTTTGTTTTGCTTTTGCCTCAAGACAGTTGCTAAACAAAATAAGCTTCAAGGTTCTCTGTTTAATGTACAGTTGACCATAACACAAGTGTGGAGAGAATTTTCCCAGTTATCCCCAGCTTGATAAGCTATGTTCTATTGCCAAATATATCAGTCAGTTAAGAAAGTTATTGCTAAAGTCTTCAATATATTAATATTTCTGAAGTCACAGAAAATTATCATTGCCACTAAATGTAAAATTTAAGTGGTAACTTCACAGAGGAGAAATTAAATGAAAAAAAGGACAATTAGACATTGATAGTTTAACAGTTTCATAATCCTTCTTGCTATCAGATAAGACTTTTTGATCATTCAAACATAGGATTGTTCACTTAATGGCCAGCAAACCCTCTTTGATGAAAACATACAGTGACAGATGAATCAGAACAAGCAGGAATTTTTTTTAGCTAAATCCTCTGTGGTGCCAAGTGATTATTGAATGTACAATAATAAAATGAAAACTTAGCCTGAGAACAGCCTGGTACCAGCTAAATCTAGCTTTCAGTCGCTTCACGAAGCACAGTACAAAGCAACTGCTTATTCTTGCAGATGGTTTTGCACATCAAATTTAATTCCACATTCACTAACACTTTGCTAAAAGTCCTATTCTTTTATGAAGGCTGTACAGCTACATTATACAAGTAAAAACATAAGGGTTAGCATCACAAAAAAAACCCCAAAACCTACAACGGCTACAAAAAGCTTAGATCATACAGGCAAAGGTGAGGAGACAGTGAAAGGGAAGGGACAAGCCAGCAAAATAGTTGCAGAAGGTAACAGATGAATGCGCCAGTTTAGCCTGGGATTCAATCCAGGGTCTATGGTGAAATGACTTGCACGATCTCCATCTGCTCTGCAATTTACAGTGATTAATTACACAACTCTTAGAATCATTCCATTCAGATGAGGTTTAGATTTTTAAGGTGCTTTGAATATTCACAATATTCATATATATTCATATAACATTCCCACCCATTGTACTTTTCCCCCTTAGCAACCCTCTTGAATTCTCCAAAACATCACAGTTTGGTAGCTCCAAGGTGGCTGCCTGTCCTTTTGGGAAAAGTTCAGAAGAAGTGGTGATTACCAGTGACAGCGTGTGAAATAGTTGCCTCTGCCCAGCTTTGTGAAAAACAAATTTTGGAGGCCTGTGACTACAGTAGACTCTTTCTTCAGAGAGGTCACCTCCTTTAGGCACTTGTATCCCCGTGTAGGGCTATCCCAGTGTAATCAGCTGATAAGCCTTCATGTCCTGTTCACCACTGCCATTAACTGTATTCTAACCCTTACAGTTCCTAAAAAATTTTAGTGGCTTCAGATCTAATGCTGTACTTATATCTGGACAATTGAAACACATATTTATGGATCAGTTCTTGATTATTCTTCCCCTTAATTGAAGTTCAGCCAAATACCCCACAGCAATGTTGGCACCTAGTGATGTGAGCAACTGTGAGGATCGCAGGTACCATAGATTTTAAAGGTGCGCCTGAAACTTCGATAGGCATACTGTAAAGGTCTAGGAAAGACAACAAATACACTAAATCTGGTAGTTATGGATTCAGCCACCATGGACCTCTATACAAAAGTGTCTACAGGTGCACCCAAACTTAGCAACCAGCACAGACCAGTTCATCTGACAAGCCACTGAGGCTGGATTCAGCTGCATAAATGTGGGTTTCCAATTTGTAAATAGAGTCTTACACAGGTAGAATGCTAAACAAGTCCTGTGCAGATGCAAATACCTTAGGCTGGTTCAAACAATAATAGGTGCCCATGCTCAAACAACTCAATTTCACCCTCTGTATCTGTCTTAGGATGATTTTAGGATAGCTCTCTAGGCCCCACTACTGCAGGGCTACAACTCAATTGACTACAATGGTAGTTTATTACCTAGCTCATACCTGGACATCTAAATGCAGCTGTCCTAGTCTCCACCTGAATCCCCACCCCATGGCCTTGGTTCTATTTCTCAAACACAGGCTTATAGTGCCTCAGGGGTGCCCTAGATCTCTCACCTGCCATTCCAGATGGGCCCAGATCTACTGAAGGACCTATATCATACTGTGTGCGTGTTATAGACGCACACAGTATGATATGTGTTATAGACAGGATGAGTTCAGGGCACCCAGCAGGATACTAGACACTTGGATATGTGTCATACCTAGTTGTAGTCACTTTTGCCACAGCCAGCATGATAATCACATCCAGTATGATACTAGATATGGGCAACAGAGCTGAGTACCATAAAGCACTGTGCTCCACTGAAGAACGCTGCCGCTCTTTCTGCGTCCTTTCAGCCTAATGAAAGGGAAAGCCTTCTGATGAAAAACATGTGGGGAAGGACTTGAAGCAGTGTCACAAAATAATGTAGTGAGATTTCAGTGATGCTGGGTACAATAATTTAGTACAATTTTACATTCTTTGCTTCAGCAAGCTACAACTGGGTTAGGAATCAGAAACCATGAGAAAGAGTGCACATATCCCCCTATCCCTACCACAACGCAAGGATTTAAAGCTCTGTAGTCTTGATCTGCTTGTCTGTCGTGTTGCTTTCCCCAGTCACAAGGTTTAGATAACAAATATCCTTTGGGCTATTTGTCACAGGGATTATGTCTCCTTCCATATCTCTTAAACACATTTTAGCTATTAATGTAAATGCTAAGAATATAATTATTTTAAGGTGAATACTTATCATACCTATCCTTTGGAAGTACTGTCAATCTAGCAATTTGTATCAACAGTTTTTTGGTACCTGAAACAAAGTACTGGGAAAGGAAATACACCAGGCCTACCTTTGGTGTGCACCCCTGTCATCACTTAAGCTACTGCACTGACCTGCATGCGGTTCATGGCTTCTCGAATCTGATCCAGATGGTGTGCAGAGCTGAGGGCTTCAAGACGAATATCTGTTAATTTTAGCTCTTTCTCCCTCAGCTCGCTCTTTAGCTGAAGAATAATTTCAGCCTCTGCCTCTGTACACTCACAAATCCTAAAGAGGAGCAGGAAATAGGCAGGAGATTAAAGGAAGGTTCTCACCACAAAGCAGTGTCATTACTAAATATCAAAGTTCAGAAAATGTTTCCTGCTGGTGAAACCTACAAGTAAAGAAAGAAACTTATCAAAGAAACATGAAAAGCTTCAAACTGCGAATTGAAAACTGAAAAAAAGCCCTCTCCAGGTGAAATGATAAGCTTGCTTTATACCTTTCCAGTTTAGTTAGAGAATTCACTATGGCAAAAGAAGTTGTTAAAAAACTTTTCAGAAATCTTATTTTTTTTTCAGTGTGTATCACCCGATTTTAATTTGATTTTATATCTGCATCTTTTCTTTGGTGCAAATATTGTAATTTTCCTAAGTAGCAATAGTCAGAACCAAAGTATACTGCTTGAAATCTACTGATGGTATTTATTATCTGTTAGGCATCACAAGTTTTCTCTGTTTCAATCCGTACACTAAGAGACAGTCCTTGATTTCATGATCTAGAAGATTTTGATCTGCAGTGGTTTTCACTTGTGACGGTTGATTTTTTGTCTATAGTCTGTCATTTGGTAATGTATGGCATCTGAAATCATGCTGGTTGGCTTGTAGTTGGGTTGTTTTTTTTTTTTTTCCTTAGAGACTGGATTAAAAGTAATCACCATGTAATTATTTTTTTCATAAGTACTAATTTTAGGGGAAGAAACCACTACATTGTGAGAAAAAAAAAAAAACAAAATATGACTGGCTAGCATATAAGTACAGAAAGTATAGAAGCCCTGACTCTGACACTGGCCCAGGGACCCACAGCTGTCCAGTTCTCATGTCAGACTGTTATGCTTCTCTGTATCATCATCAGACCTAGATCTGTTGCACAAGAGAACCAGCGGAAAATAAACCAGTGAATTTTGGCTATGTTGTTACACTAAGCAAGATTTTGAGTCAATTTGCTAAATGTTATTTGCTCTTTATTACTGTCACTAAAAATAGTTAATATTTTCAGAACAATTTAAATAGAAAAATATTTTATAATAATAAGTATTATTATTGTGATTATTACAACTAATATACAAACAAGAAACAGAGGTCAACTTTTAACGGCCAGAATGCATGCAAATGCATTTTGGGAAAGAAGATGCAGCACTCTTCAGGTCAGCAGTTGGGTATACAACTCCATGCCCCACACCCAAGTTTACCGGGATCTATGCTTGTAGACCACGTGACCGTTTTGCCTTTTCTTTGGTGCCCAGACTAGAGATGACCTGCATACACATGTATTAGACAGATGCAATTGGAAGAAAGTAAAGGTAATGGTTTAGAACATGAGACTCAGGCCCAGAAAATATTTAAAGAAAGTGCAGCAAAGGGAAGATGAAGAAGTTCATGGCAAATAAAAAAAATGGCAAACTGAAGAAGGGAAACAATGAATATCTTTCAAAACATGCACAAGTACTTTAAATGTGAGTAAAAATGAATGAATTCATATACTAGGATTTTTTTTCCAAATATGATACAATTCTTGGTTTGATGTGCTCATTCCTATGCTAACCAAAGAAGTGAAACCTTATTTACATGCATATATTATCTTGTACAACAACTTGGACAACTGGGAACTCACATATCTACTTGTTGGCTATTTTCTTTTTGGCTTTTTTGCAATACATATTGAGAAGGGATGGACAAAATGACTTTGGTAAGCCTGCTTTAAAAAAGATAAGAATGAAGCAGAGAGCAGAGCTACAGTTCTGGAAGAAGAAGGAAAAAATCTGTCTAGACTGGTAAGATAAGCAGAATGGAAGCAGAAAGTATAAATTGAATTTTCTTTTGCAAATTTCAGAGCTCTTCCACATTCAGCTCCTACAATTATAAAATTACATAAGAAGATGAGAATTCATCAAAAGGAAGAAAAATTAAATGATAATTTAGTGTTTCAGAGCAGTCACAGAAAGAGGCTTAGAAGCCTGATCAGACTTCAGACAAAGGTTCAAAGTAGCTAGAAGGAAAGAGTTTTACTTTTTCTTTCTTGTTTTAATCTCGGTATTTTTACATCAATAGGTTGTTTCGGGCAGAAGGAGTAAGTCATGATCTTTGAACAGAGGCTGCTGACAATTATGAAGAGTCTTGAAGGTGACAGAATTCTGAATTACACAATGGAAAACCGAGCCTTACAAGTAAAACCAACATTATCAGTATAACTGACAAAGAAATTAATCTAAATAACTAAATTTTACATGATCTCTCTGTGGTAGGGAAGGACTCTGTGCTATCCTGTGCAGAAAGGAGACCAAACAGCTATGGGAAGAGATTGGGATGAAAGACTAGATATGTAATATTGCTGTTGAGAAATTCTGGGAACACCAGTACATCAAGAAAGAGACAGGAAAAAAAAAAAACCAACAGGATTGGCAGAAAGCAAACAGGATAAGGTTATGAAAGCACATCTGTGAATCATGAGTAAGTAGATTTGTAAGATAAAAGTATTTTGTTTAAGATCAGGCACTTTCTATTCAGGCTTTGACTAATGTGTGTTAAGATGATAATAAATAAGGCTTAAGGGTTCCAAACATGTAAAAATCCAACTCTGAAAACACACACACACCTGAAACTATAAAAATGTGAGCTTCTCATAAAAAAACCAACAACACTAGAAATATAGATATATTATTCCTCACTAATCTGTATGGAATATGAGGAAAGAAAAAAACATTTAATGTGGAAGAATTTATTTCGTGGGAATATTTGCTATCAATCTCCTAAACCTTGTATATAAAAATCATTAGAGTTTATAAAAGATTAATCTTAAAAGGCACCTAACCCACCACAGGGAAATTCTATTCTAAAACTCTAATCAGGCACAAGGCTAGAATTCTCCATGTGCTTTAAGGAAGAGTGGTTGTGACCTGATTATTCTCAACTAAGACATGGAAAGTCAGGTTCACATCAGTACGAGGCATTTGTTGCTTCCAAAAGGTTGAGCCTTGAACAAAGAAGTTGTGAGCTTAGCAGAATGAAAGAAAACTTAGACAAATATAAGTGGGAGTTGAGAAATCTGTAAGAAGAATATATTAGATGCCCAAAAAATAATTAAGAAATGGGACAGCACTTGACTGATTTGTTCTAAGTCCCGAAACCTTAAAAGGATGGTGTTTTGAATAAAAAATAAAAGTAAAAATTTGGAAAAAAAAATCCAAGCTGATAAAAGAGGGAAAATATAATTAAAAACTTTATTAACTAATAGCTACAAAGTAGGTAAAGTAGTAACAGGAGGGATGAGTAAAAATCTTGTAAAAATTCATTGCTACCTGAAAATTAAAATGACATTTTTAGTATGTCATGAAGGAAGGAAACTGTAGTATTTGGTCTTTATGAAGTGGATATGATGCAGTCATTAGTGGTGTAGAGAGAGCACAAGATAAGCTTTCACTTATGCATTTGGAAACAAGTTTGTTCTGCTAGAGGATTTTAGGTAAAGGCTATGAAAGGAGTACAAAATGACCTATGAAAGAGCTGCTGGAAAAGTAGTGTGTAAATGGAGTGAAGCTCAGAAGAAATCTGGCAAATAGATGGAGCATAAGACTAAAAGATCACAGCTGTTGGCAATCATTTCTGGACTGCAAATGGCCACCTGCGAGGAGGCCTGTTTCACAGTCCATCTCCTTTGGGAGGAAAGGTTTGCCAAGAGGGAGACTTACGCAGATGCTGACTGTGATGGTTTCATTGATGTTGTCCCACACTCTCCTGAGCTGTGGGGCAATTTGGGTGATGAAGGAAGAGAGGAGTCTGTCAGCTCTTCTATGTCTGAATGTGAGGAAGGAGGCTTGGTGGACTTCTTCTTTCCAAAGGCCTGTTTGAAAGAGCTTCTTAGCTGGAAAACAAACATAGAGCGAGATTATTTTCCTTGTCACAGCAACTTGTGTGCAGCTCATGTTTTGAAGAGTTAGTTTGCAGATGCCATCCTAGCCACTGCCTGAGGTCAGTATACAGAAGCAAGGTATTAACATGTGCAACACGGTATCTTTAAAAACATGATACAGTGCTTTGTTTTGACTTTATTAATCCAGCGCAGCGCAAACATTATGCTATGGAGAAAGTGCAGGACTGAGCGGTACGGCTGTGAGAGAAGGGTGCTCATTTAAAACCATTAGGCCTCAGTGGAATCCCATTCCCATGGCATTCCCTTCAAGGGCTGGCTTTAAATAACCACTTTGCATCTACATACAGGCAGAACCTGCTGTTACTAAATGCTGAAATCAAAAGGCAAGTCCAATTTACTAGGTTTGCCAATTTCCTTTCCCCAGGAATAATTTGAATGGTCAAACTATGCAAATGCGATGGTTTGGATCAGAAGCAGGATTTAAGCTGGGACACGAGCCTTGCTTTGTTGTACTGCTGAGAAGAGTGTTAGATGAAAGGTGTATACTCTTTGCTGCAGTTTCCTTTAGAGCAGTAAGATCTCTGAATATACAAGCATTGCCTTTTCCCTCTAGAAGCTCTTATCCAGTACTAAAAAGGGACAGAATAGCCAAAGAGCCATTTATTTCAGGAGCCAAGATGACAATAGTCTTGTCTGCAGTGGATTTTAACTAGCATGTTCATTGATACCTTTGTCTAAATACAGAAGTTGTTCATCTTAGGAAAAATATGGCTGGTTTTTGACTGTATTTTCAGAAAGTTGTTCTGATTAAAATTGTATAGGAGTCAATGACAAACTGTTTCATCTATTAAAAAATGAATTATTCAAACGTTATTTTCATTATATAATTGGAGAGTGGGGAGTGTGACCACTGATCAGAGAAACATTTAAGTCCTTTCCAGCTCATGATATCTAATGAGAAAGAAATGGATTTTGGCTACACTCCCCCTTTCTATAGTCTAAACTTTGAGATTAAAATGAATAGAGAAAAACTGAGAAGACATACAGGATAATCTGTTTTTAGAAGGTATAAAAGCCTACTGCCAAAATAAATAGCAATCATGCCAAGATAGGGTTCTTTATAGATGCATGCCAAATTTTCCATGGTTTATATTCACCTCACTTCCTCTAGAGTTCACCTTGCAGAAACTTTTAAGAGTGTGCAATTACAAATCAAGGGAATGAAGGCTGATCAGTATTTTAAAACAAATGTTTATGCAGGTAATATTTTTTAAACAACAAAAACATATTTTCTGCTTATTTAATGAAAATATTTGATTAAACCCTTAGTACTAGGTGGTATTTGTGTGTTCCATTTGAGAAGCTTCTTAATTTCTTTAAATACCACACCACTTTTACATAAGAATTCTTAACAGATTTCAACTCCCTTCATAGCTGGGTGACATATTTGAGTCAATCCTCCAAATCAAACTCTGACTCAAGTAAAGCCAAACAAGGTTTTAAGTAGCCCAGAGATGGTTTTGGTCACAACAGCTATTTTAAGGTGAGTCTTTTTGGGGAGGGGGGGTGTGGGGGGTGGTTTTGTTTGTTTGTTTTTTGATTATTCTCACTTATTAAATAATTCCCCACTGATATTCAACAGTTTTTAGTTTGCAGATAGTGTCACGGTATGGATATACATGAATTGCTTCATATTCATCTGGCCCCAGAAGAATATTGCAGATGAAATGGACCATTATGCTACTCAGGCACTAGGAAATGACATAATAGCTAAATGATAGATTTGAACCTGCTGAGCACTTACCCAGTTTTTCTTTTTCTTCTTCTTGGAGTCAGCATCATTACCACTGCCAATGCTTGAATGGCTTGTAGCACTGTTGATGCTGGAAACACTTTCTGAAGAATGTTGCCGCCTTATACGTAAATCTAAAGAAAAGAAATTACTGTGAAATCCATCCGTCTCTGTTTAAATATAATGATGATTCTTGTACTTGTGTAGCATCTTCCTCCTCAAAGGGAGCCTAAATGAACATAAACGGTATTGAGGCTTGCAGTGGCTCCGATTCAAGCTATTGCAGCCTGTGAAAAATTGCATGGGGGTCAATGAGAATGCATAAAATCAGGCTAACACTTCTCCAGACTCGGGTCTTACTGCCATGAAGGCAATGACCTTGCAAAGCAATCTGTGCAGGCGCAGCCTCATGGCTAAGCTGTTTCTTTTACAGAAGGATTACTTATTACTATCACATGTACTACAGTTCTTTTCTGAGGAGTATAAGCACTACTTGACTTGCAGTAGGCCTCATCAGTGTTCAGATGCTACCTTCTAATACACCATGATGGAAATAAGCAGGCAGGAGTTCATTAAAAATGAATGAGGTAAAATAATTGAGAAATGGAGAATATTAGAAATGGTTGGTGAGGCTCTTGAGACTCAATTTCTTAAAAGTCTCTGATAACTATATCTTAATCACTGGAAAATACTCTTGCAGAACATACCTACTAATACCAAGAGAAATTAGTTTTTAGATTATTTTTTACTTCCTAGAAGTTAACTTTGCCATACTCAAGTCATGCAATGAAATGACCTCAAGGCAAACGTCTAAATAATGACTTCTTTAAAGAAAGATCAATGACACTCTCAAAACCGAATGCTGCTATAATTTTTCTTCAAGTAATTCCTTTGCTGTTGCTTATCAACAGGCACTTTTGAAGTATGTATTTATCATATGACATCTGCTTAACTTCAATGTCAAACTAATTTGGAGTCTGGAATTTAAAATGCCTGCTTTCCTGATTTAGCACCTAGTGAAGGAGCTGAGCTGTTGTCAGTCCATTTCTTAACAATGAATGCAACAGTTTTCAGTTCTACAACTTACACTGGGTTTCCAAGCTATTACCATGTTTCACCATGAGACTCCTCCAGTGTCTTGGGTGTACTGCAATACACAACTGCCATGACAGGGTTAACTCTTGATACCCAGCAATCAATTCCTGGTCACCCAGTTTTGATAAGCCAAGGCTCCAGGAACTCTGGCAAACAGGAAGCTCATGCAAGGTTTCCAGCTCTGGAAATACCACAAGTATGCCTACCATGTACTGGAGAATGTGCTTGGCCTTGCAACAAAGTCCCCAAAATAACAGAAAAATAGTGACTTTGCTTTTTTTTTTCTGGGGAGAAATTCCATTTATTTTAAGAGCGACAAAAACATACCTTTGTGGGTATGATCAGGACCATTCAAGGCTCCTTGAATAGCAGCTTGTGCAGCAGAATTCTGGGCTTTCAGCATTTCAATGGTTTCCCTCAGCTCTATAAGCTCAGATTCCTGTGGGAATTCCAAAGAGAGTTCAAAATATATGGCATAAGAAAAACGTTTATCTAAGCAAAAAAAAATTACACGATAAGAGTGGTCAAACTGAAATCCACGGGACTGCTTGGGTGAACATAAGGGCAATAACTAATTAGAATGCTTATTTTGTTTTCAGAGATATTAAACTCAACTACATATTATTTTGCACTTATTCTATATAAAGCAATAATGCTATTTTTAAGGAGAATAAAACATTTTTAATAAAGACCCTAAAAAGGTCCTCAGTTGAATACAAATAAAGTTAAGATAAACCAAACAACTTAATTACATCCTTTAGTATGTGAGTCTACTGCTTAATGGATGAATCTGAACATGAATTTGTGTATTTTTCAAAAGATTTACCTTACTAAACAATAATTAAATTTAAAAACCTCTGTTGAGTAGCTACTGTCCTGCAAGCTGAAGTAAAATCACTCCACTTGAGCGCAGGAAGTTCTGTGTTAGAATGCACAGCTAATTTTAATTAAAAAATAGGTTTTATTACTGCTGCATTAAACCTGTCTTTTCAGCCTTTATTTATATAATGAGGATTAAAGGATTTTAACCTCAATAACAGAGAAAGAAGAGAAGGAAAAGATTACAGATCTTTTGGGAAAGAAGATTGGAGACATTCTATTTCAATCTGCATAACAACTTCTGGAAAAAGAAAAGCTATGGGAAATTAGACTTTGTAAAATAGTCAAAAGTTTTGGTTTTAAGAAAATTCCACTGTGGGTTTTTTGTTTTGTTTTGTTTTGTTTTTTTCTTAAGCTGAAAAAAAACCCAAGCAATATAAATATTTTCTATCCATGTCACAATGAGTATCACCATATTTAATCGGTTGGTGCTCAACCAGACTGTGAAATGTTATTTTTATAGACAGCTACATTGACTCCTATGGTGACTAAGAGTTCACTGATGCACAGTTTCTTTCACATTTTGGCTCAGTGAGGCCTTTCCATTTATAGGATACTGTTCCAAATTAATTAGGGCAGAAAGTTTCTGAAGTGAAATCCTGGAAGGTGGAAAGCTGCCTCCTAATCCTGAAATTGATACAAAGGTTCACATTAAATTTACTACCTACCAGCTTTAGATTTTTTTCCCCAGTAGTCAAAACAGTCAAAACTGTTTACTCATGAATAGGATACCTAGTCTACATTAATTCTCTGAATGGAGTCCTTTTTCTCTACTTGAAATTCCTCCCTTCCCATAATTCCATTATTCTGACAATGATGGCAAGTTGGAATGAAGCACTCCAGCAGGTTACGATGAGTCTTTGTTACAGGATCTTTCAGTATGGATTAAACCTAGAGTCACGTATGTTTTAATTAAAATCTGGAAATGAAAGATTTTATCTTCAATCTATTCTATGATATTGTCCATGTAAACCTGATGCTGCACAGTGTAATTCTCCTAGAGCCTTATGAAAATATGATCACAACAGCCATTAAAGAAAGATCTGTCTGTCTTATTGCCACAGCTGTCCCTGTTTCCTTTCAGTGTTTTTTAAACAAAACTCTAATATAATCTGCTGACTGTTTTGCACATTAAAGCATCTGCTTTGGTAAATGTACCTTTTGTTCAGCTGTCATTGTTAGACTTTGCAGTCGGCCGGTCATATTTCCCAAGCTTTTCTCGAAAGCTGCTACCAGATGAGCCTGTGAAAGAAACAACATTCATCTTGACATTGGGACACTTTTCCAAGATCTAGTTGTTCTTTAAAAATACATTTTTTTTCCCCTCCAAGCTCATCTTCTACAGCTCTTTTCCATTAGTTTTATACTTGGACTGAGCTACCTTGGGTAGGTGAACTAGCTTTTTTAACCCCCAAGGAGATTAGCTCAGGTATCTATGCCTGGAAATGAATTCTGGACTTAATGCCTTGTTTTGAGTCTTCTGATATATTGGCCAAAAAAGTCTGTTGCCAAAGAGAAGTCCAGGACCAATTCATTTCAATTGCTGAACACTTCAAAATGGAAATTCAAGTACTTTGTCTTCAAAGGTAAGTTTTAACCTCACAAATAAAACACTCCACAGGAAACCTGAGATTAAAGTAAAAAAAAAAATAAATCACAGTTTTATAAAAGGTCATTACTTTGTTCATCTTATATTGATTATATATGTGTGTGTTGTGTGCATAAAAAGTAATTAAAATGTATATAAAACTTAATATTTATATGTGTGTGCAAGTGTATTTATAAAACACAATCTTTCTCAATAAGAAAAGCAATAGATGAAACTGATTAAAAGATTTTTTTTAAAATCAAGGTTTCATTTCATTTTCTATCAACATTCACCCTATACACTATGCAAACAAAATTTATACAAGCAATACATCAATTCTTCATTTGTTCTAATCAATATCAAGCTACATAGCCAAAGAAGGTCTACTTGTCATAATGAAATCAACAAGCTAAACCAGCTTGTACAACCAAGGAAAAGTAAGAATTTAATTTTTATTAAATGCCATAAAATCCCACCCAATTGTCTCACAACACTGAACAGTAAAAGCAGAAAGAAATATTTACTTTCTCATTATCATCTCAAAAGTGACAATAGGCAAAGTTTTCAAACATAAGCACAACAATACACTTGCAAATATAACTCACAAAACCTCATTCTTATATGCACAACTGAGCTTTGTCACCAAGAAAACTTATTTTTTATTATAGCAGTGCAGGCACACACAGTGTCTGAAAAATTTTTCATTTGCACACTTGCAAGCATTATTGAAATTATTCAAATATATGTGGTTGTACTGAATCTGATGTATAACCAGACAAAGATATAGTCCAAAAAGGATTCTGTTATACACTTCAGCAGAAGGAAAAGAGCTTTTTGCTACCTTGCTCTGTATATTATTCCTCAACTAAAGAAAAATTACCATATACAAAATAGTGGCCCGTTTTCATATCTCCACTTCAGAGCTGTTATACTGATGAGTGGCTTTTATGCTTTGTAAATAATTGTTGATTGCTATAAGCATTTCTGTATCTTGTAAATTCCTTATTTTGTACTTAGTAAGCTTACTACAAGTTTACTCTGTGTCAATTATATTATTAGTAAATGATTTATTTAATTACTTACGGGGTAGTGGTCAATTCATCTGCTTTCTGCATCTGCAGCGACGCCTTAGGGACGACTCTTTTGGTAAAGGAAACATACCCCAGGTACTAACTTTTGATAAACTTAGGACTAGATACATGTGCAACTTCTTAAGAATTAATTAGTAAACGTGCATATTCCTGTTTTAACATTTATGACTTAGCCTTTATTCTTAAAGTTATCATTTTAGATAAAATGAACCTGGAATATGTGTCAAATGCACCATTAAAACCTCTCAATATAAAATTATTCTAGCCAGTTTGGAAACTACAGCCTTTGTTTTTTTTTCACTACTCCTTTGACAAGATAAAAGTAACTAGTTTCTAGACTTACTTTTCACTTCAATTAGCTCCATATTAAAAATATCCAAGCTAATTTATGGTGTTTGAATTCCAAAGATGATGACCAGTGACCTGGAACACAACCAGAGACTAAGTAGATGGGCTACCACAGAAACATAGCCAAATGTCTCTTCGTTACATGTGTTTAACAGGAAACTAATGGAGCTCACTGTTCCCTGACGCATAAAAAAAAAAAATAAATCCATGGCTTGGCTGATGGCCCACGGTTCTGCTTTATCATGAGAATAACAATGGGGACTGAGGGCTTGAAAAAAAAAATCATTTGCTTAATTATGCATTACTTTTGTCCGTTTCTCACAATCAGACTGTAAGAACCACAGCTCTTTGGTACCTAACTACGCATACTTGTGCAATGTATTTTCCTACTTCATAGCTAAAATTTCAGCTTATATTGTACATGAATAAACCACAAAGAACTTAGAGGAAAAATTAAGGAACTCATAAAAATACTTAAGAACTAAAAAGCATAACTAAAAACGTCATCAAAGTTCACTGAAACTATTAGGTTATTGTCTGATAGTCTTCAGAGAAACACAGCCATGTCACATCTCTGGCTTCTTACTAAAGTTCAGCCTGTGATAGTGTACATTATCTTCTTGAAGTAGCATACTAACAGTTTTGTGTCATAAATGTAATTGGATCAAAATGATGGATCTTTCCTAAGCCATCTGAGAGAAAGACTATCAAGGTTTGATTTGCTAATAATAAAGAACTATAATTCAAAGACCCACCACTGAAAACACTGCAAGGAAAAAACCCTTCAATTCCATTGTTCATTACTTCAAGTGTTTATTACAACAGAATACTCTTCTATGAAATAGCAAGCGCTAATATCACATTCAGAGTAATAAACTGTGATGCTTTTGTCTGTGGTAGCAAACATTTATTTACTCAGCAGTCTAAGAAACTCCTACTTGTTGAAATGTCATGCAGATTTGTCCCAAAAGAAATACTATGTAACAAAACAATAAAAGTTACTTTGAAAAATACTAGATGTGTGTGGAAGTACATATAGAACATACGCGTGTATACGTTCCCATTTAAGATTGAATTTTGCATTTAAATAGTTAAATCTACACTAATTCAGAAAGGAAAACTATTGAAACAAAGAGAAAGGGGAATCTATGACTTTAAAAATGGTCATTGGAAATTAAAAATTCTAATTAGATACTTCTTTTACACTTTTCAGTTTAGCAATTGATTTTGGTTGAATTGGTAATCCTCAGTCTCTGAGGACTATTTACTTTATTCAAAAGGATATACTCTTTCATTCTCATAAAAATATTTTGGAGAAGTTTTTTTAAAGTTGCAGCCAATCCCTCACACCTTAGAAGTATGTTAGATTCGGTAGTTTAATTCCTGGCATACGTCATTTGAACACCATACAAAATATGAAATATTTTCAAAATATTGAAAACTGCTTATGCATTAAATAAAAATTATTCTAAAGTAACAATATTCTTCACAATTGAATGCAGCATTTGTCCTTGGAGGTAGATATAGTAGAGTCAGAATTAAGTAACTGTGCATTACTGGAAGTACACATACAGCAAAATGGATTTATCTTTAACGTGATGTACATATTAGATATACAGATGATGTACAGCTCTTAGTCTGAAGATCCATCACATATGGATTGATTTTGACTTCTGTTAACATCTGAAATTCCCACTGGAAAGAGTCAAGGAGATATATGCTCATGGAATAACTTCAGTGCTAAGATGACAGATTTTATTTTAATCATTTCCTTTTCTAGTAAACAATCCCATCGAGCCAAACCCCAAATACTTCAGCTCTTAGTTTTACAGCCCACTCTGAACATTACATTGGCATATCCAAAGACTATCTGCTGACACACTTTGCAATTTGACCTGCAAGGTTCAGGTTTACCAACAAACCTAAAAAAACAAATTTCCTCCCACCTGATGTGGCTGAACAAAAGGAGGCACGAGAGCCCCCAAGGGATCAGGCTGACTGCAGGGAGCAACTGTCCATCGGGGGACCTTTTCTGTTCGCCGCCTGCCATTGTCTTCTTGTTTGGCTGCAGGATAGTGGTTCAGAGCTGGCCAAACAAGAGCTTTAGCCAGCGAACCCCCTCCGCTTCCCACTGGCATCCTGGGTCTACCACAGTTTGCAAGCATGCACCCTTCAGCTTTATACAGTACAAAGCACTGATCAAAGTCCCTCCGAACAGGCTGGATTCAGACTGCTTGCTGGAATTTGAGCCCTTGTCAGTCATGTAGGAAGTCTGCTGGTTGGACACTTTCTGCACTGAAAGCAGGCCCTTTCTGATTCAGTATTGAGATTTGACCTTCAGCAACATCAAAACAGGCACCAAGGGAAACAACAGAATCTCAGGAAAAAAAAACTGTAAATTAAGCATGCAAACAACAGCTGGGCTCTGCTTGAATTTAATCATATGCAGACAAAACATTCTGGGGTTAATCAAATGAAATAAACTGCTGAAATCAAGCATAGTACTTGAGTCCAGCCAGCAAAACCTGAATAATAAATGAAACCAAATAAGAGAAAGTCTCAGCAGAGGTTTCAAAAATGCCTAAGAAATGCTATAACTTCCAGTTATATTATTTTATATCAAAAATCTGACATCAAGCAAAGACCTAATGAAAAAGGTCAAATTTCAGCCTGACAGTCTTTTAATGCTACATGTACTACTGGCACAAACAATCTTTTGTGGCAAAGTAAAGACAGACATAAATAGTGTTGAAATTAGATTAATACAATGTTCTTTTTTTTCACTCCCATACAACACTTCAGCTCAGTTCTACAAAGGGAAATTATAACAACAAATTCAAGCCCAAAATGATGTGTGAGGGAACAAGATTTCTGGCTATTAATAGTTTCCTTCTCCACACCACAGGGAGGAAAAAACTGCTACCTATTTCCTGACACTGAAGTTATGGAAGTTTGGAAGATCTTAGGACTAAGATGAATACATTTATTACAAAGACATCAGAAAGGACTGAGTAATTTTCTGGTCAGCAAAGGCACCACATAAGATACTCTATTCTTATAGCTCTTTACCTGCCAGAGTTGGATGTATCTACAGGAAAGATAGGCTGTGATCACAGTTTTTTCTCCATTAGAATTACTGTTCATCCAGGTTTTAGCCTACCAGGGTGCAAATGTGACTCAAAATGAGGGTCACAGTTTTTATTTAAACTAATTTAAATATCTAGTTTTGTAATTAGACTAAATTTCAGAGGTCATATCACAATTAAAAAGTTGTATATACACTCTGTTTTCAAGCTGGATTTTATTCCCAATGTTAAAGTGATATTTCATAGAAATTATTTCTATAAAATGCTCAAAGGACTGACAGAATTAGTACTAACAGATCTTTAAGTTGTCTCTTTAGATCCTTTGGACTTGCATGAAAGTGGTCTTTTTATGTTTTACACCTTCTGTCCCAGAAATAGCAGAGAATAGACTCAGAACCAGGCTTAACGTGAAACACTTTTCAATCTTTGGTTTTGCAGGGTATGCCTGTCATGACAGCAACCCAAAACAATACTTATTTATAATATCTAGTAATGTCTACTTTTCTTTTAAGACTGTATTCATTGTGAAGATATCTAAATCCCTTGTTCATGCCTGGAGAACTTGAAGCTTCTAAGTTTCGTGCTCCTGATGACTTTAATTTTGAGGGAATTTCCACATGTTGAGGATTTGGAAAAAGGAAGGATTTCTCTGGTACCATTTAAAACCCCATGTGTTAAAAGGATCAGCTTCAGGGTTGCTTTTAGGTTTAGAGTTTAAAGTGACAGATTAAAAGGTGAGTGACACAGTCAAAAGAACATAATTAAATTAAACTTTATACAACATATGGTGTGCATGCACATATTTATTTACACATACAAGCACATGCAGGTTTACAAAGTAAATTACCTTTCCAAAGAGGCAAAACCAGATGTAAATGTATATATGTATACATTAACTATCCTGTTGAAAATGTTACACTTCCAATTAGATCAGCAGAAAAGCTGTAGGTATTCTTAAAAAATTTGCCCAGACAAACGGAACAATGGCCTCATTGCCTCAGCTGCAGAGGAGAATGTCCTGCCATCCTGACTCTATTACACTTATTGTGGTATTATAGGCTACAGCATTGCTGGGGTGACTGGAAAAGTATGGAAACTAAATAGAGTCACGTTTCAGCTCTCTCTTTCAGCACATTAGCAAGAAGGAATATGCTGGTGGTTTCTCTTCAGAGCTAGGGGAAAGAAGAGAAGGGAAACTGTTTTTCTGCCCACAGAGTAAAATGAAGAATGGTACCAAGAGCCTGAGTGATTGCTACCAGAGTTGGGCCCCACACCAGCCCTAGCAGAGGCATCTGAGCACAACCCCACCACAGACAAACACTTTAGTCTTACAGATGTGTGACCACTGCTCAGAATCACAGAATGGTTTGTGTTAGGAGGGACCTTTAAAGATCACCTAGTCCAGCACGCTGCCTGTAGGTAGGGACATCTCTCCTTAGATCAGGGGCTAGCAGGAGTCAAGCAAACTCCTCTGGATAACACCAGCTGCTGCTGGGTGGGCATAAACAGGGAAGTGACAGTGGATGTGGGGATGTCTGTGAGTGTGCTGTGTCACAAGCCCAGCCACAGCCCACCTCTCTGAGCTCCTCACTGCAAAGCAGAGCGGCTGCAGCCCTGCATTACTGATGGAAAGAAAAGTGCCCTGCAGAGAACACCAGACTCATTAGTAAGCAACTACGTAAGGAATACTGGCTTAGCTCTTCTGATGTCTCAGTGTTCATTTTAGTTTGTTGCTTTCAGGATAGGTGAGTGAAGAACTGTCCAATCTGGCAAAGATGATGATCACTGTCTAAAATGTATGAGTGAAGAAACACCATAGACAGGATAGGCATGCTAGCTATAAATTCCTGAACGAATAACCCAACTGGGAATCTAGTTTTTGAATTTACAGACAGTGCAGGACTCCAATATTGTCTGCTTCACTAGTTTATTCTCAAACCTCCGAGCAGACTGACAACCCATACTGCTACAGTTCAAATATCCAAAGGTGTTCTTCAGCCTCCTGAACAGAGTAGAAAGTGCTAAGAGTATTCTCCTACATTGTCACATGTGACAATGCTAAGAGAACAAGCAGCTTTCACACAGCTAGAGATTATTTTCTCACAACATGAATACAGTACCACTTCACTGACTGAAATATTTTTTTGAAAATAATGTCAGAATTTATAGATCTAATACTCAGTGCATCCACGCTTTGAAGAAAGGCACTCTATAGGTTGTCCAAGACATCAGGAAATTGCTTTCTTGAAATGCAAAATGATACTCTCTTGCAACTACATCTCAGGTTTCCTTGGGAATGGCAACTATAGTTATATCCTGAATTTCATTTAAAAATCACTGTACAACTGATTCAGTAACTATCTGGTAACTTCATCTAAAACCACAGCAAACAGACAGGATTGTAGCTTACATTCCCTATCTGGCTTTATTTTCTTCTGATACATATTGAATAAGCCCTATTACCAGTGTACGACAACTGGAAGGATCACCAAGGAGCTCTGTGTGAAACAGCCCAATTTCCAGCCCAGTGTCCATCAGTTATGTATCAGCATAGTTACTGCAACATATGAATTCTATATACAATTGTATACTGTGCTTCCCTCCATGCCTATCTGCATTTTGCAGGGTTTATCTTTGTGAAATGAAACTACAATGAATTCTATCAGAATAGGCAATTCATGCCCTTTCTTTGGTTGTGTCTCCATACTCCTGTGCCTTTTTTAAATTGATTGTGAAGAAAGAGTCAAACTGAACTGGATAGAACTTCTGTCACATCCAAAAGGGACACTCTCCATTTCCACTGTGACTACAAGATTGCTTCTGCTTGAGGCTGAGGCAACATAGACATTTAATGAAATAATTAATCTGAAAAACAACAAAATAAATAAATAGTAAAACTCTCCCAGACCATGTGTTGAGTAGGACCTATTAGCCAATCTGATAATATATTCTTTGATGCTGTTTATGACCACAAGCAAACATACTTACATTTGCTGACAGTTGAGATGTAAGGGTAGCAACTTTCTCTTGCGATGCAACCAGCTCTCTCCTTAGTTTCTGAATTTGCTAGCAAAAAAAAACCAAAACAAAACCAAACAGACTGCTGTGAGTATTTCAGCAATTTCCTTTTGTTGTGTTTTTTTTTGTTTGTTTGTCTGTTTTCTTTAGGGGTCACTAATAGGTTTACAATGTCTTAGGTTCACAATTTAATCTCGGAACTATTCAGAACTACAAAATTTTAAAAGTTGACACTTAGTGCTGCTCCAGCTGTTTTCTTTCACTTCACCAGGTATCAACTAGGATCCCGGTTAAAGGAGCATGAGAGGGCAAGTCCTTAATTACTTCATATGTACAGTTTTGGATTTGCACAAGTAAGTGTCATGGTTTTTTTTACCAAATCATGCTAAGTGCCAAACATATCCGTAGTGTTGTCAAGGATAGCAGCCCTGGATGAGGCCTGAGATTATGAAACATGAATGAATTTGGGTGTGGTTCATGGTATATGATTGTAGACATGATGCAACTGACATGTTAAATATCTATATTAGACTTAAAGTGCCCAAAAGTATCCCCCACTGTCTAGCATGAAGGAGGCTTTGATGACTACCTTAGACATACATTTTTGCTTCATGGTTATCTAAAGTTGGACAAGGTACAGTAATTATTTTTTTTTTCCTCTAACACAATATTTCCTAAAGTCCCTGTGATTCAAACACGCAGCCTCTTTGAACCTTATATACTATTCAAAACCTTGCTTGCCAACTTAAAAAAAAAAAAAATGTAGCTTTAAATGTGCTTGTTGACATGAAAAGGTTCCTGTATCCTTTGATGACAAAGAATCCTTAAGAAAAATAGGTTTCGATTTCAGCCAGAATAGATATCTAGCACAAAACTTGCACATTGTTTTAAGCTCATTTAGCCCTATTTGAGATCTTACAGGGATTCCATGCATTGCACTGAACTTAAGCATAGCATGGAGTTTGACTTTGAAACCCCTTTCATATTCAGACATAAAAAAAAAATCATTCCAGACTAGAGAAGTAAAATATCTAAAACTAGCCTAGGAAAGGGAGCACATAACATTCAGTAGTAAAGATTATTGCAGTACTTTAATTTAATGACTCCCATGAAAATCATCAGGAAATATTGCACAAGCTTTAAGAATGAACAGATTTCTATACATCTATGACACAAAAAATAGCTAGGTCATTTACGCTAGCTTAGAGCAAATGAGACAGGTTAATGAGCTGTTGTCCATCTTGAACTGCCACTTTTCTTTTTCCAAGTGTTCTCTTTGGTTTTCCATAGCCATCCTTTGACCTTCCTGTTTAAGCTACACTTTCATCCTATTCCTGCAACTATACAAAGGTAGTTCCCAGGAAGTGCTATTCAGTATCTCCTGCAAGAACACCCCAGAGAAGACCTAGTTACTGAGAAACATAACATAGTAATACACAGGAAAGAAAGGCTGTCTTACTTCTATCTACAGCCCTATAAAATGGACAACGAAATCTGGAAATGTCATAACACTACTGAGCTATACATGCTTCTTTAGCTGTTTTGCTTTAACTTTCAGAGAAAGGAACTTAGAACATTCAGTTAGAGATTATATTGAAATATACCCTGGCAAGAAGGAAGAATGTTTATTTGTTCAACTTCCTCAACATATCTTTTAGTTGACTTTTTCTCTGATTAGAGTAGTAGAAACAGGAGCAGCATAAATGCAGGAGTTGGAAGGCATGCAGCTCTGTGAAGTGGAAATGCACCCCTTGGTGCTGCACTTTATTGCTGCTACTCCTTTGTGCCCTTTTAACACAACCAGAACTTCATTTTGAGAAAGGCTGTAATTGTAGCCATCTGCTGGCCCAGGCTTGTCACCTACTCTTATATACTGTGAGGAAAAAAAAGCTGCTTTCCACATCAGATTTGATTTATATCTGAAATCAATCTGCACTGCTCTGAAATTCATCAGAGTGGTCAGTTTCAGAAATTTAATACAATGCAAAATGTGAGGGAGAGAAGTTCATAGTGAACATCTGAAGTATTTTTCCACTGAAAGGGAGTACGTTACCTTGAATTGCACAGTCCCTTAGATCCAATACAGAGTGGCATTAAGTCTGAAATCAGATGTATTACAAGCCCAATTCCCATCAATTCTTTCACCTTTTCAGCACCTCAGCCAAGAAACATTCTTCAGCATGATGTGAAGAAAACACCTAGTGCACTAGAAGCTGCATCAGCTTTTTTAACCAATACTTCTTAAAAACTGGTGCAAAGACACAGGGTGTATTTTCCCCAGCAACTCAGCAGTTTAGCCCTAGCAAGTAAACAATAAGCCTTAAAATAATATAATGCAATCGTTAAACATAAAAATGAAGAAAAGTTCTTACCTCTGAATGTGCCTTTTCTTCTGCCTGGAAGAAAACAGAGAAATAAAGGCTTAGAAACAATGTGCAACATAACTGCGGTAACAGAAAATAAAAGCCAGCTCTGCTGAAGTGAAATGAATAGCTTCATGGATCCATTACATTTAAGGAAGGTATGCAGTAAAAACAATAAATGGAATTCTTTTCAACTTACTTGGCAAGGCTCCAGCTGAAACCCCAAAGAGTTTGCCAGCATACTGATAACATGAAATAGTGGACAAATGGAGAGCAAGAACAGAACTGCAGAAACTGCAGCTACATTTTTAAGAATCAAAAGAAAATTTGCTACGCTGTCACTGCGTGGACCTTAGTCTGTTACCAGCAAACTTTTACACCTAATGATTATTATGGCTCCTGGAACTATGTTTGTTTTTCTGTATCCTAAATAATATTCCTAACAGACTAATCCCTGTGAAGAGAAGTTGACAGCATAGCAGTAAAAGATATATGGGGGGAAGATGAGGGGAGAGGGGTACTTGCACTTCAATTTCTTCCATACAGAGTGCTGACCAAAATACTAAAGGCTATCAAGGCATGTTAAAGTTTCAGCTTAAATTTCCTCATATTTAGTAATTTTAGAGATTTTCCATGTTATTATGTATTGTGTCATGTAATGATGCTATTTACTCAGCAGTCTTTTTCAACAAGCTAAGAAACTAAATCAATGCAAGGCGAACCTTTGAAAGTCATTAAATTTGTAATCATGAGAGTAGGCTAACTTAGGAGGCACTTGGCAGATGCAGAAATCTTGCTTCAGTGGGATTCTAATGGAAAAGAATGGTGTGCCATGAGAGAGGAACCCTTCTGTAACATGAGATAAGAATCAGTTAATGTACTGGAAATCAATCCACCTCATGATCTGAGGCGGCCAAAGTTCAGAGAAGCAGCCAAGCATTGTTTGGAAGAGAAGCAAGCAGTAAAAGCAAAACGTAGGTAGAAGAATTAGCTATGAATAACACTAGAAAGGTTAAGAAAACCCAAGGTAAAAAAACCCAAGGTTCCTCAGATTCCCTGACATCAGGCATGATCTGACATTACAAATTAATACAGCTGGTTTTTAAAGCCTGTATTAAGGACAATTTTTGTGCTGTTAGAGTATTAATAACTTATTATAGAAATATTTTCTTACTTTACCTGATGTAGGTGAAGATTTAGAAAATGCCTCTTTCCATACATGCTTACCTGTCAACAGTCATAAAAAGACTGTGATGCTATGATATTTCCCTATGCAACACTTAAAACTGCTCTTGGCTGAAAGTACACCTGAAAATACAGGTGATTAAATTACATCACTACATGGCAATGATTTAGTATAATGATTGTTTATTAGCCAGTACTAATGTTACACACATACTTGTACTAACTTTCTGGGGTCTATGTTTGCATAAAGGAGATTTGCCTCAAAAAAACCAGAAATCCTATTCTCATTATTGTTACTTCAAATGTTGTGCATGAAAAGTCACAAAGGGATCAAGAAAGACCATGCTCCCTTATGAACTCTACTGTACCAAGAATAGAAAAAAAATAATTAAGGTGGGTGACCTTCTCCTGAAACTGCCATGTGCTGACACAATCTCTTGTCCTTAGACCACTGGCCCCCACTGCTGAAGGCAATCCTGTATGTACCCTCTTGCTAAACCATGACTCTCTTACTAAACCAGGAAGCTTTGTGTCTCTCCCAGAGTTCAGAGAAGCAGCTCCCACAAGTCAACTTTCGTGGGCGGTGGACAAAGTAAAAAAAAAAAAAAAAAGAGAAA